TTTTGTCTAGGAGTAAGAAGGGGTGGTTACGATGGGGTTCCCCCCTGTGCCCCAAAGGGATCGTTCTCGACATTGCTCCCCCAAGCCACGCAGCTCTTAGCACGATGCCTTCCACCTTGGCTCGGGTTGAGCTGTCCTTAGTTTCGTTGCTTCCGCAACGATTGAGCTTCCCCACCAACGACAAGGTCTCACAACTCCCCGGGGGGGCTTCCCTAGCTACTCGTGGGAATCTTATGGGTAAGAAAATTAATGAAAATAGGCAGGTAAACACTGCTGAAAGTTCTCGGGCTAGAACCGAAAGTAAGAAGAGGGAAGACACCTCAGACAGAACGCAGAGGAAGGGGGCCGTAGTTCGGGAAAACACCGGAGTTCTGCCGAAGACCTCCCCGCACTTGGAGAACCAGGAGGTCTGGACGACCCGAGAAGGAGACGCCTGAGCGGGGCAGGCGCTAAGAAGTACCTCAGGTACTTGGCATAGGGCATGACATCTGGTTCAGCCAGGGAAAGGGTAGACAAGGAGAAAGAAGAGAGGCCTGGCAACAAACGCTGACTCCGGATTCTGCATCCTCGTCCAAGGTGGAGGACAGCAAAGAGGTCAAGAGGGGAAGTGAGTACATCACATCCCTTCGAGGACCAAGCAGCAAGAAGAAGAAAATATACCCCTATAAACCAACAGCAACGGTAGCAGGGCCTAGCACTAGCTACGCGGCGGCGGTAAAAAGCGTCCGAATGGGAATCGTTCCGAGGGAATACCCCGAGGTCACGCTAACCTAGGAACAGCTGACAGACCTAGAGAGTGCTCTGGTTGATGAAATGTTCACCAGCACGGTAGTTAACCTGAAGTTTGCAGGAATCCATTTCAGGTCGGGACTGATAATGGGGACTGCGAAAATGAGCAAACAGTCATCTGGCTGAGGGAAACGGTATCCCGGCTGAAAGAATGGAAGGGGCCGGATTTAATTGTGTGTACGGGAGAAAAAATTCAGAAAGCACACACCATAACGGTCTTCCTTCCCAGGAGCAAAGGGCAAGAAGCTGAAAAACTCCTCCAAGCTCCTAAAAATCCAAAATGCCGAGCTCAGGACAGAGGCATGGAAGGTGATTAGCTCGAAGGAGCAATCGCATGGTCAGCTGCTAACCTTGGGTATAGACACCAAGTCGAGCGAAGCGATCGTGGCGCAAAACCACTCCATGCACTACAGGTTTGGGCGCGTCACGGTGCCTCAAGAAAGGTGAAAAACAAAACGAACCAGAGGAAAGGATGGAAACGGATCCACCATCCCCTTAGGAAGAGCCAACCCCAACCTCCGGGAACACTAGTTCCCCCAAAGGGAAAGAGGCACCAGAGCCGATGATGAGCGAGCCCAACCCAGAGAACATCGGGGCTGAAGGCTCAGAGAACGAGCTTTCCACGGAAGAAGAGGAAAAGTTACTGAGGAACGAGACAGAGATCGTCAAGGTGAGGGCAACAACACCTCACCTCAGTCCTAGTAACTGACCTGATGGACAACACAGCCACCAGGGTAGCCCAAGTCAACCAACATAACGCCAGAGGATCCTCTGCTGTGTTTGCGAGGCTGGTTGGGCAAGTGCGTGTGGATCTTGCGCTGATCCAAGAACCATGGGTTTACAGGGGACAGGTAAAAGGACTGACAACCAAAAGCTCAAAGGTAATATGGGACGACAGGCACGAAATGCCTAACTAGAGCCTGCATAGTAATTAAAAGACATATTAATTATATTTGTGTTTCAGAAATCATGACAAAGGACCTAGTGCCGATTATGGTGAATTTCCACCACCAAGGCAGGCAACGAACTATTGTCATAGCATCCGCATACTTCATACTTCGCTGGGGATGGGACACGCACGCCCGCCCCCGGCGGAGCTGCAGGAGCTTGCGCACCACTGTAGGGGGAAAGACATCCCACTCCTTGTAGGAGGCGACGCGAATGCACACCACATCTTCTGGGGTAGCTCAAACACCAAAACCAGAGGTGAGTACCTTTTTGAATACTTACTTGAAATGCACTTTGATATTTACAATAAAGGGAATACACCCACTTTTGTAACAAGGGCTAGGGAGGAAGTATTAGACATTACATTTGGTAGTTCTGAAATAAAGAATTACGTGAACAACTGGAGGGTCTCGGCTGAACCTTCCCTGTCTGATTACAGGATCATAGAATTCAGCCTAGAAATAAGCACCTCCAAAGCAAAACTCAGGAGAAATCCTAGGAGAACAAACTGGGAATTATACAGAGTCAATCTGAAGGAAAATCCCAAGAAGAATAGGAAATCACGTAGAACTGGAAGAGTAAGTAGGGCTCGTGAACCAGGTAGTAATAGAGACTTTTGACTCTAGCTGCCACATGGTTTCGAAAGAACGCTCGAGTGTGGCCCATGGTGGAATACAAAGTTGGCACGCCTCCGGACCCAGGCTCGGTGTTTATTCAACACAACCAGGAGAACCGGGGAGTGGCAGCGGTATACAGAGGCCCTCACAGAATACAACAAAGATATCAGAAAGGGAAAAAGAAACAACTTTAGGACTTTCTGTGAAAACATCACCTCGACTCTAGTAGTCGCTAGACTACACAAGGCAATGGCCAAAGAGGGAGCATGTTTAACAATGGCTCTTAAGAAGCCAGATGGTACCTACACGGAAGGTGAAGAAGAGCGTGCGCTCCTTCTTTTGAGCAAACACTTCCCAGGCAGCAAACGTACTAACATAGGTGAGGAAAGATCATACCCCATCAGACGCCCCACAAGGGAGGACTGGGAAATAGCAAAAGTAGTACTCACCAATAGGCGGCTCGAATGGGCATTGAACACATTCGAACTTCTGAAATCGCCAGGAGTGGACGAGATCTTTCCAGCACTCCTACAAAGAGGAAAAACAGACACGATCATGCCGCACCTTGTAGATATAACTAGAAGCAGCATGGCAATGGGATATATACCTCAAATATGGAGAAGGGTAAGAGTCACTTTCATTCCGAAGGTAGGCAATGAGAATGGGACAGACCCCAGATTCTTCAGACCAATAAGCCTCACATCGTTCCTTTTAAAGACAATGGAGAAGGCAGTAGATAGCTATATCAGATTCACTACATTGGAAAGGCGGCCGCTGAACGCGAGTCAGCACGCTTACAGAGCAGGTAGATCCACTGAGACAGCTCTGTTCCAACTGACGAGTAGGATACAAGAATCTCTGGAAGGGAAAGAAGTCGCATTGTGCGGTTTCCTAGACATCGCTGGCGCCTTCGACAACACATCCCATGTGGCTATTCGGAGAGCTCTAGCGAGAAGGGAAGTCAACGACACAATATCTCGATGGATGTGTAGGATGCTTGCCACAAGGACAGCAGAGACTTCAGTAGGCACCGAGTCTATTGAGGTGAACACCACTAAAGGCACTCTCCAGGGCGGAGTATGCTCACCCCTGATGTGGAGCTTGGTGGTGGACGAACTGCTAGAAATACTGAACAACTTGGGCCTGGACTGCGTTGGGTATGCTGATGACGTCGTCATCATGGCAAGATGAAAGTTCGAGGGCATCCTGTGTGAACTCATACAGACCGGACTTAGAGCAACGGAGGAGTGGTGGAAAACAGTGGGACTGGAGATAAACCCGTCGAAAACCACTGTAGTGCCTTTCACTGGGAAGCGAGAACTTTCTAGAATGAAGGACATCCGGATACACGGAACTATCATTATATCGGCATCAGAAGTCAGATATTTCGGCGTTACGCTGGACCGCAAACTCAGATGGAACAAACACATCGACGGAGCTGTAAGCAAGGCTACGAGGGCTCTCATGGTGTGCCGAAGCCTCGCAGGCAAAACCTGGGGATGCAAACCAGGGATCTTGGGATGGATGTACACCATGATAGTAAGACCAACCCTACTATACGGATCGGTAGTCTGGGTTAAATGCAGTTGAGAAGCAGAACATAAAAGCAGCTCTCAACAAACTACAGCGCCTGGCCTGCACATGCATTACAGGCGCAATGAGAACTTGCCCCACAGCAGCCATCGAGATAATTATAGGTCTCGCACCTCTTCACATTGTGGTGGAGGGGGCTATCAGACGAGTAATAACCAGAATCACGAGGGAAGGAGCTGCCGAGGGAGTTTGGCTAGGATGGAGAGAAATTGGCATCTATGACCAAGTTTATGCCGCTCCCCAGGGACGATATGACTAAAACACAGCACCTGGACACAAGTAGTGATAAGAAGCAGAGAAGAATGGAAAGAAAATACCACATCCATTCTTAAAACTAAGCAGAAAGCCATAAAATTGCACACCGATGGGTCAAGAACCGAACAAGAGACCGGAGCTGGAGTATTTGGGCCTGGAACCAAGTTCTCTGAAGCAATGGGAAAATACCCGGACATATTTCAGGCGGAAATAAACGCTATAAGTAGGTAGATGTGCTGAGTTCAATCTTGACAGAAACTACAGAAAGAGAGAGATTGTCATATTACATACAGAATGGTTTGGGATTGCCAGGACAAGTTAAACAGACTGGGCAAGGATAACAAACTATCCCTCCAGTGGATACCGGGACACGAAGGGATTGAAGGCAACGAGAAGGCGGACCAACTAGCGAAATTAGGGGTACAGACCCCGATTTCAGGACCGGAACCCTTCTGCGGCATAGGAAAACACACCTATGAAGAAGCCTTCAGAAAGAAAGAGCGGACCAAATGAAACAGCCTCTGGGAACAACTTCCAGGGTTGAGGCAATCGAAGATGTTTCTTGGGCACTCTGACCAAGGGAGCGCCAAGAAGGAGGGGACACAATAGATATATGCAGGTCGCAGTGTAGCAAAACCCCCAACTAATTCATTCATTCATTCAACCATTTTGTCCAAGTATGATAATCATTTGTCAATTTGAAAGGCAGAAATTAAAAGTTTTAGAAGACAGCTTTGGCAATATTAATTAGTCTCTTTGAGAAGAATGGATGACTACATTGAATTCAGAAAGAATTATTGAAAACCTTTATTACAAAATCCAAAATACAATCATTGACACAATCAAAAATACATTAGAATATAGTTGGATATCGACTCCGGTAGAAGTTTCAATAGTTATTGTTGTATTGATTGCGTTTTCGCCTTCCATGAAATCCACAACAAAATCGAAAATCGATTCCATTGGAACATAGTCAAGTGATTTGTGACCTCCGCTTCCTCTAGACTTCTGACAATTATTTTCACCAGTCAGTATTCCCACTTGAAGGTCGCCGCATAAAAGCGGCCCATTCTCTGGCGCACCGCAATTGTTAAAGTCTCCCCCATCACCTTTCTGATCGGCGAAACATTTCAATTCCAATGGCGTTCCTTTGCTATCTGTAAAAATAGCATTTTTCTTCGATGCTACCCCAAAATCGAAACTAGTGAAGTTTTTGCAATGTAGATTTTTTCCTCGCTTGTTCTGTGACGAAGGCCAATTCGATGGCCATGATGACACACGTGTTCGGTATCTAGGCACAGGCAGTTTCACCAATTTAATGGTTGGTATCATATCAAAGATGCTTTCTTTTAGTCTAAACACAAATATTGTTGTGGCTTTGTTTGGTGCCTCATTTTTTGATGGCGGTAATAATTTTGTCCAATCGATGATCGGCACGAGGGCACCAATTTGAGTACTTCGTGCAGTTTCAGTACTAAATATTTCACCAATATTCTTCACAACGTTAGTATTATATCTTGCATTGGAAGAGGATCTATTTCTCACAGTTTCATCCACATGATAATTGTGAATATTAGTATCGAAAGTCTGAACATTTATGTTAAAATTGTTAGTTTCTTTGATAGTTTCGGAATAATGAAACTTATTTTGATTAACAATCACTGGTGGCTTTGGGGGAGGCGGTTGTGGAGCATATACAATATATATTGGTTCTTCTTTCTGTTCCTTTTTATCTTCCATGAGATTTTTCAGCATTTCGCCTACCTTGAACCCCAAAGCCGCTCCTGTACCAAAATACTCAGAAAATAAAGTACCTGTTCCAAAAATTCTCGGTTTCATCCTTTCTTTGGAATTTTCCGCCATCACCACTACATATTCGTTAGAACAAGGCTCTGCTTCTTTATTGGCATAACCTTCCGAGCCAATTACAGATACAATTATTAGTAATAAGAAAAATGGCCAAGGAACGACACGCATTTTAAAATAATGACTGTCTTGTCAAACATTGAAAGAACAAGCTGAAATCAATGACATTTTGCTGAAATAGAGAATATAAAGCCGGACACACCTCAATGCCGGACACTCACGTTCCGGTAGACCTTAGAGAGAGAGAGACTACAGGTACATTGCAAGGTGGTGTGAGCCGGAGTTTGTAAATTCGGCCACACATAATACCTGTTGCACTCAACAAAAAGGGTCTCCTTAGAGGTCACATGTAAATATATAGGGTTGCCAGACCTCCTATTTTTGATATGAGACTCCATATATTTTAACTGTTTCTCATATCTCATATTAACATGTTTAATATGAGAACATTTCTCATATATTTTCCTCAAAAAAAAAAGAAACCATGTATAACTACCATACACGTGATAGGCCGGTCCGACGTCGGATAAAGTTAAAATAGTTTCAACTCCTTCCGTTTTCAGATCGAACCTTAAAACGATTTTGGGTCAGGGATTTGTTTAAATATCGAAAAACTCAAGGTTGCAGGGGCGTCGCGTCGCGAGGGGTAATGGGGGGTAATTACTCCCCCCCCCCTCCCCCAGGATCGAAGAATCAAGAGAAAAATCACGATGCCCAAAAGAAAATACATAGCATATTGAAAAAAATTTGAAAAAAATTTCCCCACAAAGGAGATAATTGTTGTGGAAAAGTGAATGACCTTAAAATTTGCCAAAAAAAAAAAACGGAGGAGCGCCCCCTGAACCAAGTACTATTTACCCCCCCCCCCAGACTGCTTGTCACGCGTCGCCACTGCAAGGTTGTCCACGACGACGACTTGTTACAACAAAATGAGAATGAGACTGACCGATCAGGAGGAGTATCTAACTATCTAAAAGAATGTCCAGCAATACATTCTAAAATCTGCTAAAAATCATATCTAATTGTCAAGATGGGAGCTTTTTCGGAGTTAATCATTGCAGTATAGTGGCGAGTGGCGGCCATTGGAATTGGTACAAATCTCTGTACAAATTTTTGAATGCACCTTGAATTATTGCATTCAACGATTTGACCTGTGGATTTGACTTTTTTAACAAACCGTTAATGCCAAAATTGTGCCAGCTTTGGCTTTATACAAAGAGCGTTCAAAAATTTGTGCTAACTCCAATGGCCGCCACTGTACATAAAATATTCTCATATATTATTATCCAATCTCATATAATCTTATACAGGGTCTCCTATTTTCAAAACTCAAGTATCTGGCAACCCTACATGTAAACTCGGCCAAAATACCTTTCAGGTTAAGCTGAAGTTTCATGCATCCGTTTTTCCGACGAACGATGTCCGAAAAACATTCTATTCTGACATAATGGGCGCTTCGTTTTATTCAGCGGTGGATCCATCGGTAATCAGCCTTTCTTTGTCTAGCTTATAGAAAATTGGAATGTCTGTCTCATAATCCTGGCAGCAGATGGATCCATTGCTGAATAAAAAAACGCGCCCAATCCTATGAAAATAGGTATGTCAAAATAGAAGATTTTTCGGACATATTTCGTCGGAAAACGGATGCATGAAACTCCGGCCTTATTAGCATTAATTATAAAGGGGGTCACCCCAAATGGGCTATTGGCCTCTCAATTATCAAGTTGGTGCTATCAGTGCACTTTAAGTATCTTTGTATAGTTGGTGCCATCAGTGGACTTACCGTGTAATACGTATCGGAAAATCGAAAAATAGAATCACTATTTTGACAATTCGATACGAATTTCGACTCGACTAGTAAAATAGAATGGGCACTTTCCAAATTTCACCGATAAATTTACCGGTCAAATAAACCGGTAGTTGTCAAAAAATTCCGGTAAACGTAAGGTGAAAGTCCGGTTACATGATTTTTCTGATACATTTTGGAACGCTTTGGTGTATTAAAGTTTGGTTTTGACGGTTGTGCTGCGACAATTTAACAAACGACTGCCGATAGTGCCCATTTAAAGCAACTGACGTACGTCAAAAAAAAAGTGTCAAAAAATCTCCAACCGAAAAAACCGACAAAAATTCCCGGTAAATCCGGTGCCACACCGGTTTCAAACAGCTGATCATTCCGGTCAATTTTGGAACAGACGATCTGGCTCAACCGGTAAAAAGTCGGTACATTTTGGAATGGTTTGGTGCCTAAACTATTAAACCGGTATCACACCGGTTCAGAAACCGGTGAATTTTGGAAAGTGCCCAATCCGGCAGCTGGTTTGTGATGGACATAAAGCGCCCGCGACTCGCCTCGCTCCTGATGCGTTCGACTACCACTTTACTCTTTTTACTCTGTGAACACTGAACACGTGACTATGAAACTGCTCTTTATCCGTCCCAACTCCGTTTCACCAAGCTGAACTCACCTCAGGAAAAAGAGAGTAAGCTCGGTACGGTGCTCGATTGTAAAGTAGCCCGATAAGAGAACACTCTGATGGCGATTTACATTTGTCGATCAGTGCGCACTGAGTGTATCCGCATCTTTTTCTAAAATTATGTAAAATATAAGGATAAGGATACACTTTTGTAGCATTGATTCTACAAATGGAAATCGCTATGAGAGCTAAAACGAACAGGATCTTATAGCGAGATCAGTTACTAGGTCCGACTCGTCGGAGCCTTTATCTAGACATGCAAATAACAAAGATGGGAAGATGGCCTGATTAGGTCCGGCAAATCCAAGGATGATACACACTACTACTACAGGATGGCCTATCCTCATAAGGCCTGTGTGTAACAAATCCTCTCCTACCCCTCTACGCCAAACAACCAGTTGTGACGTAAGCAGCATGGCGTTTCTCGCCTTGACGTAGGCTGTTTAAACAGCTGACGACCTAGTTATGACGTCGGCAATGGTTGAAAACAGTTGAAAATCAATATGGTAGCGATTACCAAAAACGAGGCCGATAAGCACTCCATAGAGTGTGTATTCTTCTTGCGGCAAATCATCTATCCGAACATCCGAAGTTGCCCCAATGTACACTAGCAAGACAAGAACATAAAATGTGCTTCAAATATCTCTCTCGCACTAATGTTGCGCAGCTTTTGAATGTATCCTTTAGTGACGCGTGAAACTAACGAGCTTAAATTCCTATTTGCATCTTTGCTTATCACGAACTAAATAGGTCTATTACAGACGTGTTCTTTTTTCCATCAGACATTCACCAGGTGAAAACATGATGCCACCAAAGCGTTCTGAGAAGAACCACCTATTTAAAATATTATTTCTTTAAATCTCAACTTAAAAAAAAAAAAAAGGTTTACTGAATAAAAGTAGATGTTGCAACCATGTAATGCTCAGTCAAAATCACAAGAAGAAGAGCGCGCAGCAACAGAAAATGTATGAGTACGAAGGGGAGATAGAGAATACAGAATACGCAACTAGACTACAGAATAATCTATGCTGGTCCCTTATAGACGCGTTTCTGTAAGTCTGTAATTATTCATTATTCAATTTTTATTTTCATTTTGCATTAAATTGGATCGTTTAATCCAATTTGTTATTAGTGTGGTGTCAAGAAGCGATCACCAGGTCAGTTAAATAATTATTATTTTGTTTTTGATAGTTCAATTATTTATACAAGTATCTTTTTTTTTTTTCATTTTTATGTTTTTTTGTTTGTTTATATCAATTTTTTATAACATGTGCATTGTTTATGTATGTAACCAAAATCGTTTCATGCTGTAAACCACACAGATAAAGAAGTAAATTAAAACCTAAGAAATTATGTGCTGTCTTTTTGTGCTAGGATTTCGATTTTTGAATTTAGAACGTGCATTAGGGCCTTGTTGAATTTACTAACATTTTCCTACCCTGACGAGAGAATATCCTAACAAATTGAAATAATCAATCTAGAGATATTGGCTCAAACTCAACTATAGCTGAGTAGCTTCCCGTATGGGACCTCAGTACCTGCTGGAAAACTGTCTAACTAACAAAAAAACTCTTCAGTATTGAATATAGTTAGTGTTGATTGAATGTTGTGTGTGTAATTAAAATTTTAGCACAAAGACCAACGACGGTACCTGATTTAAACTTTTATTGACTTAAATTATTGAATTATTGACACAGTTATCATTAAAATGACACAGTATGTTTCGATTTTTGAGGAATGTTAGATCGAGGGTTTCTCTGCCGTTCTCTTTCCCCTCGAGAATTCTAGGTCGAGAACGGTACGATTTACTTTAATAATAAAGTAGACGTTTCACAAACTTTTCGTTTCTTTTATATATCACAACTTCCCTTAAATTTCCCAAATATTTGCTATGTCGGGTGCATGTCCAGTAAGTAAAATTGAGTAAGTTTCTACAACGTAGGTCATATTTGTTTTTCATTTCAGTTTTCAGAAGATTTGTTGTTTCAAAGGTAATAAAAATTCTCATCGTTCAATCTTACTGAGCGAACCTGGGTATGTTAAACTACAGTTCTTTAATTGATGGTGGAAATATATATGATGGCCCACCACATCGTGTTCTTATTCTACTGTGAATTTATTTTGGATTTCATCCGTTGGAAACCAGATGCAACCAAGTTCCAACAGGAATGTGATTACTGATTACTCTGGTGGTTTTGCGTTGGTAGACCACATAACTTTGAAAAATTAACTACTGCTTGTTGTGTGACATGCGTAGTCCTTGATTTGTTTTTTTAAAATTTTTTTAGTTCATTTGCATTTGTAGAAGCTATCCGTGCGTTCGATATTCTGATCTGAGTTCTCCGAGCTTGAATTTACCGTTCCTTTATTTAAAAAGTGTACTCGGTGCAAGCTCATTCGCTCTGATACAAGTTTCAATTGCTCTGTTTGTTCGTTGGTCACGTGCTTACGGCTCCGCTCAGCACGCTCTGCTCTTTGAGCAAAATACGAACGTAGGGTTAAAGTGTCGCGCAATAAGCTTTTCTTGGCTTCAATTTCTTTGTGCCTTCTGAACTCCTCGAGTTCGGCAAAAAGTGAGCGTAGAAAATCAAGTTCCGCTGCGTCGAGCGGATTTATAGTCCTAGCGGTACACTAAAAATTTCAAAACAAAACGG